AAATTATCGGTATAACCGACAGCATAGATCATTGGTATATTAGTATTTGAAATAAATGAAATTCTAACAAAATTAGTAAATGACATACGCTAGGTAGCGTAGATTGCTTTATCAAAATTATCGTCTCTTTTATGGTAAAAAAACTGCCGCAACTTGTTCGGATATATGTAATATATCCAGAGTTTTAACACGTTATATTCAAAACTGTTGCTCTTTGCCAAAGAATAATTGTTTTCATTATGCAATTAAAACAATTGTGAGCAGACTATTTCCGAAGTGTGTCTCTTATTGGATATGTTTTAAAGATTTTTATAGTTAATGAAAGCCAATATGGTTGTAATTCTCTCTATCATGGAAAAAAGAAGAACGTACTCGCGCAATTCTGAGCACGATTCGGTCCAACTTGCTTGGTTCGTAACTCGTTCGCTTGGCAGATGTATGTGCAGTCGTCTGTAGCGAAAAGCTAGCGTAATATTGAGGTTTGCAGCCTCGTGTCAAGTATTTACATAGGCCGCAGTTAGACGCGCAGTAAGAAATAGAGACCACGAGACGCAAGCCAAGAGAGGAGAGACGAATGCTTTATTATAACATTATTCCAAGATAGTCTTGAAATTATAAAGCAGCTTTATATATACACATAAAGCAACGAAAACAATCTTGCAAAACTCTCGTCTCTGAGTCTCGTTTGACAATTTTATTAAAAAATACTCTTTTTTTTATTTTTCAAATTAAAGCTAAATGCTCTGAATTAAATAATAATTGTTTTAATTGCGCCATTAATGGATTTTTATTTTCCAATTTTAATTAAAACAGAAAATGTGTATAATGTAACGTTTATTGTTAGTGTAACGCATATATATAACATAATGTAAACATTAGAGATAATTATTGCGTTTGTCTCAGGGAGTTCTAATTATCAGCTCATTTCTCGAGTACGTGAGATTAACGCGTTTATTTAGCGCGTTGTAACATGCAATGATTATTTCTGCCACAGTAAACGAGGTTTTATTAGGCAAGAGGAAGAAAGAGAGAGAGAGAGAGAGAGCGAGCGTCGAAACGTTACTACAGCTCTTCCTATTTATGATAATTTTGTAGGATTAGTTACAAATTATGAGCCGAATTGCAATGTCTATTTCCGTCTGTTTCAAGCGATTTTCAGCACGAGAAGCCGAATTACGTTTAGTTTTTAATTATTTGCACACGACATGCAGTCGTGCAAATTTGGCGGAAAGGTCCGTTCTATTATAATATTAACGCGCTACTCTTTTATTTAATGTGATTAATTCCGTGTTTGACAAAATTATACAAGAATGATCTTAGAACTATTATGTAATGACAGATATAAAGTATGTGATAGAAAGAGTTTATATATATGATAAAGAGCCATATATACATATTCATTTTAATCATTTTTTCCCTAGAGAGAGTAGCGTAATAATATAAGTGATATAAGTGATATAAAACATTCGCAAATGTTTTTATGTGTATGTATATACATAAGTTTGTTTCGATATTACATTCTTAAAAAATGACTCAAATTTGAAAGTATTATATTTACTTATGTGTTTGTCCAAATTTATTATGGGGTTCCGTCATATAAAATATCCGTTTTATAAAAATGTTGATCATAGTATTTTTTCAACTTAATCATGATCGGCAAGTATACAATTACAGAATAAAACCCGTGTCGAAGAAAATATGATATTGCATATTGAATTCCATATGGAATCTTTACAAAATGCATTTATCTTGATTTTTATGCGAATATAAATTATTGCGCAAATCAAAGCGATCTTAGATGCGAATTGAAGTCCTGTAGTATACGATGTAGTAATTGCCACTCAAATTCAATCCCTATCAGCTTTCTAACAATAAGAGGCTGCTCTAATTCATCAGTACGACTAGGGAAGAGTTAAACGGAGCAAGAAACCACGTGATCGACGATAATGTACCTATTACACCTACTTTCTTACCATGAAATATTAAAAAAAAAAGATGAATTACCGTTCAACGTGCGCGGGCGTTTTAATGCATTATTAATTGCGAGTTTAAAATGTCACTATTTTTCACAGCAGAAGCCAATTTTTCGAGGGGTCCCACAAGTTAATCAATTGGTCATGTAGGCGTTCGCCGTTTATTATATTTTTTAAAATTGTAATCGGAGTCTGCTAAAGCGGCGATTCTATTCATTTTTTCAGTGAAATATTGTCAAAGGATAGGTAAAAAAATGGGAGGAAAAAATCACACAGGTCACTCGAAACGAGCGAAACCGCGGGGTTCGTCACCAAAAATGCGAATTAATGTAACGCCTCGCTCGGTTCGTTTTTTTTTCTCCCTTTTTACGCTTTTATACGGTATGTTTGGCGGCACAACGTTCGAATTCCGGCACGAACGCTATTTTCGCTTTTGAGCGTCCTCGGAAAATTTCGCAACGCTGCGCACGGAGGTCTGTGGAAATATTTCTCCCGGTGGAGTAATTTAGCTGTTACAAAATTTTTGCGGCCGATCCGCGTGCCAGTGATAAAATATAAATTTGACCAGTGTCTCGATAAAGAATTTCAATCGCTTTTTATACTCTGGCGTAATGTCTGATATTATATAATCATAAGTCAGAAATAAGAAAAAAATTATGATGTTAAATTATAAGGTGGATAAAATATATATATACACACACACACACACACACACACAACACCTATCGACATTAAATTATAATTTTATATCGCGTTAATCTTTCCAATATTCAAATTTCGAGTATTCGTAATCGGGCAAGAATATTCGGATCCGGATGTTGTAATATTTAGAGTTGAATACTCGGATCTTGGATTTTGAAGCCAAATTTAAGTTTTAATGAGTATTTTTGGACATTTTCGAAGGATAAAATCAATAATCGATAGTAAATTTAACTTGGAATACGTAAAATATTAAGCTTGAAAAAATTTGATTTTTTAATTAAATAATAAAATTAAGAAAAGTGCGATTGATGCATTCTGGTACATTTTATCTGATCATTTTTATCTGATTAACATTGATTTGTAATATTATTTATTTACGTATGAAATTGATTTGGCGAAGTAAAATGGTAAGATGCGATTACGTTTATGAGATATGCAGGGTAATTTTTGAATTCAGAGACGGATAAAACTTTCACTGAAACTTTGTATCCCGCGAGAAAGAGTCGTCACGATAAATCTCGCAAGATATACGGAATAACTTCTTATATTGCTGGAACTCTACGAACGTAAATCTTACTCTTTCTGTCGTCACTAATTCTAATTGTGACGCGTCACATTTCACAGAAATTTCAAAAAATTGGCAAAATCCGGAAAACTTTTTCTTTATTGGCGTTGAGTTCAATGTTGAACTTTTCATTTTTATCATCAATATTGTCGCCGCTTAGCGTGTGTGTTGCACAGTATTACAATAATTAAAAAAGACTGTTATTCTGAAAAATCAAAGAAAATTGGAGAATCTGATCGGATGAAAACCGAAATACAGCGATCAAGGTGATTCACACCGGCAAATCTCTTTATGGCGTAATTGGCACAAATAAAATCGGTTAGTGCTTACAAGATTCTCCCCAATCAGCTTAATTTCAAAGATGAAAACGTGACAACGTGAAAACGTATAAAATCGCGTGTATAAAAATTTGTGCTTAATAAAACAGATAAATTCTGTTCACATGTATATATTTTGCCGTTTACCTTTGTAAAAAGCCGTAATGGAGTTTCGTTCGTCGGCATTGTTTCGATATTTTGTAAGGCATCGAAAGCGCGAATCGTTTCTAACGGATTGCTTGATTTTACGCCGGAGCGCCGAAGGGCGAAAATGCGAATTAGCAGTCGAGGACTGTATTTGTTTGTCGAAAAACGATCTATTCTTCTCTCTCTCTCTCTCTCTCTCTCCTCTCCCCCCCCTCTCTCTCTTTGTCTGTCTGTCTGTTTGTCTGTCTGTCTGTCTCTCTTTGTAATCATCTCTATAAGCTCTTTAGACTCTTCGGAACTGCATTGAAATAAATGCATCGTTCAATTCTACCTGCTGTGCTTGTCGTCGTCGCAGCTAATCATTCGCGCAACTAATTAGAGTTCTTGCGCATTCTAATCGGATTTAATTGGATTTTCGATATTATTCGACATTAGGAATTTGTTTTTTATTTCCTGTTGAAATAAAGGAGAATAAGGAAGAATATATAATCTATGACAAATATTAAAATATGAAATTTATTTATTCGGCTTATTGATTCTTTGATAGAGGGTTAAAAAGGAACTATTTATTTTTGTTTTATATGATATACAATATTTGTTATTAATTAATGTTTATCAGTAATTATATTAGTTTTATCTATTTATGTAGATTGATATAGGATTATTACACATTTTTTTGTTTGCAATTAATTTTTTGTTAGCTGTTTTCTACGCGGGTCATTGTTGTGAATATCTCAATCAAATCAAATTGAGTTTGAATTCTTGCGACACACGATCGATTTTCCGCTTTGTATTTTCTACCTCTTTCTCTCGTTTCTCAAATTCAAGCGGTGCAACCGTGCTTGATAAATCGATTTTCATAGATAGGCTTGTTTACCCGTGGCAAACCGGATTTTCATGTTTTTCGTATCGTTCCTGGGATCCAAAATTCGGTTTGTAGAAAATGTTGAAAGGCAAATCTAAGTCCCAAGGAGATTATTGGTCATCGATAGGCCATTCTTTTTTTTATATCGAGAAATGGAATATAGCAGCTAACAATAAAAAGAATTTTATTTGCCGAATTAAAATTTTTGTTGATTTTTATTTATATTGAACGATTAGTTTAGTTTGTAAGATAAAAGATAAAGAAATACAAATAAAAACGAATTATTATTATTCCAAAAAAAGATTTAGATAAAATGGTTTTATTTTTATCAAGCTCGAACACATGTATAATTCTTTTATAATTTTTAATTTCAGTTCTCGAGGCGAAGGGGAAGGAAGAAAGATTAGTAAAGACTCGAAAATCCATTACAGAAATAAGAGGAAGCGGACGAGGAAATAAATCTCAAAATGGATGAAAATCAACAGCGAGGGCCGATATTCCGATCGCTCAACAGTCAGCACGAATCCTTTGTCAGGTTTATTAATACAACGCCCCACCGCGTTACCCTATACTGGATGGATTACCAAGGGCAGGCGGTTAGTTATGGCGATTTGTCACCTGGAGACTACAGGGAAATCAACACGTTTCATACCCATCCGTGGATCTTTGTCAACAAAGAAACGGGAGTCAGGTAGGTGTGATGAATAATTGTTTTTTTTTTTTTTTTGCCGATATACCGACAACAATTGATATATTTTCGGCAGTGATAAATTTCTAAATAATCGCGATTTGCAAAAATCAATAAGCATAAAAAATAGCAAATCAGCACAAAAATGACAAAAGATTTGTCTCCCCCGCAATTTGATTCTTAAAGTATTAGGAAACAGATGTGTAATGTTTCCCTTGAATTAATTAAATAATTTCATAGGTAATTCCACAAACACATTTTTACCAACAAAGTTAAGCTTTTTATGATATTGGACTTTTTCTAAAATGAGATTATAATAAAAGAGTTAATTAAAAGCTTGATGGAAATTTCTCCCTTCGTTAAACTTTTTCACAAATTACAAAGTAATTTGTTTCTTTGAAAAATCTTAATTTCCGATAGGCGGATTAATTATGCCTAAGGCAAAATGAAACAGGTATTTGGTGCAGCAGCATGACGTTTTCTTTCCTGAACCATGGTTCGTCAAATATCGTGGCGTCAGGCCAAGCGAGCTGCCGCAAAGAATCGAGAGGACCGACGTGCACATCGTGCTACCGATATTAACACTGCAACAATTGTCACTGGGGGTCATCAAAAAGTGTTTGACGTATGATTCGCAGGCCTTTCTTCTCGACATTCCACGGAGTCTCCAATTAGAACTCTTTACGATGCTACCAAGAAAACCTCGATCCTCGTGACATATTCTTGCGTAACGTCATTGCTTTTTCGCGCGATTAAAATAATAGCGGAAAATTCTGAAACATTTGTCACTTTTGCAAAGGAAAAGATATTTTATGAGTTTGTTGTCTCTTTGATTATATATAAAAGAAATATGTCGACAGAAATATACATATAGATATGTGCCATATATTGCCATGTTATATGCCAGTTTTTAACGATATATTTAAAGCATTAAATACAAATTAATATAGTTTGGTTTGAGATAAAGCTAAAATAATTTTTTTCCGTATATATACATTACGTCGAAATCTCTTTGAAACTTTAATGACACTAATTAGGTACAATTTCTTTTTTTAATCATGGATTATAAATTATATAAAATTGCAAGAATATTTAAAATACGAGGTGCTCATAGAGAGAAATGGTATGCGATGAATTCGATTGTATGCCGAGATATGCTTTCTTTACTTAAACTATGTTTTTCAAGGAGTCGAGATCAGAGATAGAGAGAGATACATATTTGCGCAAAGTTGTTAATTTCATTCGTTTCGTTATGCATACTTTTCTCACGAATGGATTTACATGTGATATAGAGATTATTTTGTATTATTAATATATTTTATATACTTGCAGTTTTATTATTAATGGGAGCGTTTTCAAAGGTTTATATATGTGTGCGCGCGCGCGCACACACATGCTCGAGTATTCCTTTGTTCTTTGTTTAATGGCAAATAAACTCTACGACGAATTTTCTTGATGTTCTAGCTTTTGATAACGATCTCGATTAGGTGCACCGCTTAGAAAGTTTCGGTAAAATCGTCGATGCTCGATAGTAATCCGAGCTTGTTTCTGCAATTTATTATTAGAGTTCCAAAAGTATTAATCGGCTTCTCTCTTCTGCACCTCGTCCTTTACGCTCCTTTCATGTTCTTCTTATTTGGCACGCGGGCTTGCGAATCTCGGAAGCCAATTTTTGTTAATTAACAATTAAGCGAGTATGGAACACGTTTAGACTGTATAGTAACATTAATCGTCGTCGAAATGTAGTTTTTATCAAATGTGTTAATTATTGTGATAGATAGATACATGTATTTCTACAATTATATAAAATAAAATATATGTATTATACTACACACACCAACCATTGAAACTGTATAGAAATATATATTTTTATATTATAAATGAGACTCTTAAATAAATTACGCATTAAAACCTTTACAAATTTATATTTCAGGAAATCTGTTTGTGTTTTACGAGCTCGTCTTTCGTACCCAGAATAAAATAAAACTTGATAAAAATGTGGTGAAATTATTCCAGACACGAGATACGAGCGTATAAAAGACATATATTATATAATTGCGCGTTTTTAATTTTTTTATCATACGTTCACATGTAATAATTAATAACAGATCAAACACAGACACACGCACCCACACACACACACATGAAAGGAGAGAGATGCGGAGAGGACTGTCGGTAAGTCAATTTCCACCCACGGTTATTCGAGTAGTCAGCAATCGATTAAACACACGCTAAATGGACTCTGGTCACTTCCTCTTAATCTATCCTGATCCTAATGGGTTTTAAACCGTCGCGGAATGTCATCGAGCGAGCTGTCTGCGGTTAGACTTATTGCCTATTCTAGATTAATATTTGAACGAGACGTAATTTAAATTTCGTGAATTCGAAGAATACATAATATCGGTTTTTAATTAATATTTTGTCATCGCGTAATGGAATTGACGAATTAAAAAGAGCGAGGAGTTTTTACGAAACTTTACGTATTGAGTATAATGTAAATTTTTCCACGAAAATGGAAGAATGCGTTCTCGTTACTCGTATCGTTCGTGGGACACAAAAAAAAAAAAAAACAAAGAGAAGAGAGGAAAATGGAAAAACAAAGATTGTTATCTACGCAGTAACGTGTTTCGTATGAAGATATCAGGGCGAAGAGAAAGAGAGTTATGAAACCGACAAGACAGCTCGTGAGAATAGCTAAAAACTCTTGCCATATAGCACGATACGCCTAATCATTTCGAGACAATGTCTAATTATAAAACTTAAACAGAATTAATTTAATATAAATAATTTAGAGACTGGAAACTGAACATCTCAATAATTCTTAATAAAATGTTGACAATTCCTGAATGTATGACAATTAGTTATCTGAAAACGACGATAAATATCGTGATAAATACAAAATGTGTCGAAAGTCACTTATTTTTTTTATAAATATCAAAAATTCTCTTTTACTAAGAATTTAAATGGCTATCATTTATTTTTAAATTAATTTGGCATTCAACTTGAAATATTTATGCACGATTGTGAAAATGGGCCATCCCTAAAGTTTCGGCGTAACGATTTTATGCTGAGACGTGCTTACATGCGTCACCCATAAATTTCGCAGTTTTTATCGCATTCGGATTTACAGCTTGACCCCCGTGAGGCTATCCCCATCAAAATTAGCGCATCCAACTCAGAGATCGATCGTAAGGAGCTAAACTCAAATTCCGCCAAAATGAAGCATTACTGTCTATCATCACGGAAAATTTGCTCGGCGATTGTAAATTTTCTCGGCTATTCGGAGATAGACAGTATGCAAATTTAGAGTGACCTGTAAGCGAGTTCAATGCGACCTTTGATATTTCGATAAATATCAATGATAAAAATACTAGTTTCGAAAGGTTACGAATTGGTTGAAACTTCTTTTTAATAAATAACGTTTGTAGAGTATCTACTAGACTAATCGATTCAGATTAACCGACTTTTCGATTTCTTTGAAATAAGAAGAAAAATATTATAAAAAGTGTCGCATCATTATTCGATAATAGTGTCCAATTCGTTAATAGTGATCGCTAATGTATTGGAAACCATTTGGAGAACAACAATCCTGACAGATCGTAAATGCACTTGGTAGTAGAGTTCATAGTCCAAGTTGTTGCTACGCGTATACACTCCGACCATACTATATTCCACTTTCCAGAATTCAGGGGGTTTAATACTGGTTTAATCATGACCGGGTCCGAAGTTCGTCGTCTGTGGTTTTTGGATGCATAATACGCCCTCGCGGAAGATCGTACAAACAGCGCGCGGTGAAAACCGCACGGTTCCCCAAGGTGCAACCATTTCGATTACAACCGTGAAACTGCACGGCACAAACCACCATGGCGCGCGGCGGCGATTGCACAGTGGTAACTTACAATCTCCGACATGCAAATCGTTGTACTGTGGGAAGCTCTCAATTTTTGAAGACCATTTGTCTGACACATACGAACCGACGTCTATTTGCATCGCGAAAAAACTTTTTCATTTCACGTAGAACGTACAATCTACGCGTCATGGACTTGTTCAAGATATTTTTTTCTTCTACAAAATAATATATAATCTTTTTTTTTCCCAATATATATTTGTGTTGTGTATGTGGGCTTCTTGTAAAAAATTCAACATTTATAAAAAAAAGTCTAGGCTTATATTTTAAAAAAGTAAATAAATTAATTAATTTATAAAAAGCCAGCGATGACACGCAGTATGTCATCGTACATACAGTCATTAACAATTCTTTATATATCATATTTCTGTATTTACGTGTATGGTATGTAGCCTTTGTCATTTTTGAGGAAAAAGAGAGAAAAAAAGACATTTTTTTATATTCTTCTATTAATATTTTTAAAAGAACTTGTTAAAATGGCAAAATGGCAAATTGTTAATTGGCAAAATAAATTATAATACCAAAGAAGAATATATTATTATCTTTAGAAAGATAAATTGTTTGACTTTTAACTAAATGTGTAATGACGATAAAAAGAGTCAAGTAGAGTATTTGATGGAACATTCTTGTCAGATGTTGCGAGCGATATCACGCCAAGCATTATTGTGTATAAGGAGGTATGCTTCATGAAATTCGAGAGCTTGCTCATTAGTTGGGAATCTCCAATCGCACAAAGCTGTTTCAGGCATATTAATTAACACAGTTGTGTAACTTCCATCTGCTCTGACGCTTAATAGCATCTATGAAGATCATATGGCGGAAAATGTCAAGGAGCACATTGATAGATGGATATATAATAGATATTTAGACTATTCTGAAGGAACCAAGTTCTCTCTCCATAAGAAATAAAATTATATAAATATTTAATATATGTATAATTCAATACAAATTTAATCCAATATATAATTAATAATTATTTGGCTGAAAATGTCAACTTGAAGCACAATATTTGCACGGAAATTTCTATTCCATCCATCTGCTTTTTAATCAATAAAGAGTTTTTTCTTTCTTTAAAAAGTCTCTTTGCTCTCCATATAATAAGTAACGAAATCTGCTGCACGATAATTTAAAATATGTGTATTGCATTAGCAAACTATTTTTTTCGCGCGTACGAGATGTAATCTAGTGATTTTCATAAAAAAAATTGGAAAGGGAATCGTTAAATGCTGTTTGAACATCATGTATTGTCGCATCACGTTCCGTGTTTTCCTATTTTTGCGCGTCCGCTTTTCAAACATCGCAACCGTTGCAAATCGAATATTTGCAATTGCATACATCCGTGAGAGGCTTTCAAGTTGTTAGTTGTTAACGGGAAATCTAGATTATTGAAACAAGCATCGTTATCGTAGAGGAATAAATAGAAAAATATGGAATAAATAGAATAACGAAATACACGCGTATGCGAACAGTTTTGTCTTCAAACGTCATATTGTGAGATTTTTCTCTTACGAATCGAATGATATTTGATCGACTATTGGTTTTACTTTTCAATTTGCTCGACTGATATTTGTACACGCGGGATTGATATGACATTTATCTCTCGTTATCCACTTAACGTACAAATTGCTTCGACGCGCGTTTCGTCTTTCTAATAAAACAATTTAGCAAAGAGTTTGCGATTCAATCGTATCGAATAAGTCTATTGTCGAATCATATATACACACATTTTTCATTGTATAATACAAGTTTCCAAATCTTATCGATAGGTAGGAGATTATCAGTATCCATAAATTTTCGTAAAATATCTACTAATTTGGGAGAGATTAAGAGATGGAAATTAATAGTTATTAAGGCGTTGTAATATGCAACTTTATTTTATTAAATCGCACCGTCGGTGCTTAAGCGCTATATTGCCGCATCCCTCGCAGATACGAACGGAAGGAAGGAGTAACTTCTTTAAGCGGGTTCTCGCGCGCGCGGCTTGATAGCAAGTTTCTGAGGACGGCTTCGTTTCTGTCTGCAGTCGAAGCAATTAAACCGTATATACGCGATAACCTCGAAGCAATTAACTCGTATACGTTCACTGAAGATATTGCGCTCAGAAATTTTAAAATATTATTTATGAGCTGTCTATCCCGAGATTGAGAAAAATCCACTATAAGAATTTCATAAAAACATTCATTATATAAATACAAAGTACATATTGCATGCAGCACAAAAGAAAGAGAGAAATTTTCTTCATTTTGTCATATGATATTTTAAAAGATGTATGGTCTCTTGGATTAAAATCGATAACGTTGTAAAGCATCGTTTAAGAGCATAATTGCGAAACTTGCTACTTCATAAATGCCGTCCAACAACTACTTTAAAAACTTTAAGTATATGCCCTTTACATAATCCATTATCGGAATTGGATAAAATTTGCGGAACGCCGCGAAATACCGTCACAGAAATGCATGGATGCGCATAATGCATTGAGAAAGAGAGAGAGAGGGAGAGAAACTGTGGTATTTTCCATGGTGAACGGCGAAGCGAGTGTCGAAGTCACGTCACCGTAATTAGTACGCCAATTAATTAGCAATCGGTGGGAATCGCACGGGAATCGACTGGCGTGTTGGTGCCAGAAATGCGACAACGGACGTCGCGACGCCTGCCCCGATATCTAATTAGAAGAACAACCCGTCGCTACGGACGTGGCGTTTTCTCGTAATTACTCGTAATTAGTCGCTCTGCTTGTAATTGGTAATTACGACGTATTTGCAGAAAACACGGAGGAAGCGGATTTTGTTCACCGATTAAGCATCGTAATCTGAAGCTACGTTAAGACCGGCGGTAATTGTCTACTTTTAGCAGAAATGTGGAATATTCCGATGATATTGGTATCGCAACAAATAGTGATTTATATGTGTGTAATTATATATAAATATACCGAAAGCACGAAAACTAACAACTTATTCAAATTACGGGTTTTTTTTTCGTCGTATCATTTGT